TGATTTGACATCAGTTGGAGACTCATCCACCGGAGAAAGGGAATTTTTAACATCTTATGAGATATAAGCATTACCGGCTACCAGTGCTCAATTCATAATATATATATATATATATATATATATATTTTTTATATTAATCCTCTAGAACAGGGGTCACCAAACTTTTTTTTTTTTTTTTACAGAAGGCTGGATAATTGAAAGAATGACAAGTGTGGACTGGATAAACATTTTGTTCAATACAATACACTGAATACACAAAAAAATATAGACAACAAACGTTTATTTAGCAAAAAGTTATCAAAGAAGGTGACATTAGCAATAAAATAGTTATATCCACACTTCCAGTGCACATATATTTGAATCTCACAAACTAAGCAGTGAAAAAGGTCAGTGAGATTTGTGAAACTGGCATTTATCTTTTAAGATATAATCAATATTTGCTTTGGAATTGCTGCATCCAATGAAGAGAATTGCTTTTCAAATCTTCATCACTCGATCTTGTTACATGTGCTGACTTTACATTTTATAACAATTTTCAGGCAAAATATATGACATAATTCACTGAAGCCAGTCCTTTCTATATACGGCATTCTTCAAATGGGTTTAAACACAGCAATGCAAATTAAAACATGATTGCTGCAGCATGCTTGCAATCACTTTTCTTAGAAACTTCATTGCAGGTACTTATGCAAAAAGTGTTTGGATATCAAAAGTCACAAAAAAAAAAAAAAAAAAAAAAAAATCACTAAATTTTTTTTATTTCATTTATTTTCCTAAAACTTATTTTACTGTCAGATGCTAAAATCAGATTGGCCAATTTTTGACATTTTTTTTCATTTTTTCTACATTGTAAGTTTAACTAAAGTCTATTGATAATTTCATATAAATAATCATTTGTAGCACAGTGAGGTGGTGGGCCATGATGAACTGACATCATGTACCACATCTGGCCTGCAGGCCAGAGTTTGGTGATTCCTGCTCTAGAGCAGTAGTTCTCAACTGGGTCAATATGAACCTTGGTGGTCCATGTAACATTACTGGGGTGCCACAGTAGTAAAAAAAAAAAAAAAAAAAAATATAACAAATTGGGTGTCTATGGTAATATTTTAGTGGTACATAGAGCAATTTCACTTCAGAATGGTTGTTTTGATTGTAAAAGTTGAATAAAAACTGAGACGGATATATAATGAAAGAATATAAAGGAAAATTATATAAAGATTGTAATTTGTTATATATTAATAATAAATAATATTAATTTTAAATATCAATAGAATATTAATCTATTAATGTAAATTAATTAATATAGTAATAGACTCGACATTGTAAAAAAGGGGTGATCTTCAACTATCATTGACATCAACCACGGAGATCTCATTGAATAAATCTGCACTTTTTAATTTATTAATTACTTATTTATAAATTACTTATATATTTTAAAATGGTTTATTATGAGTTATTTTACTAGAGTGCGTAAATGTTCCATAAAATTTAATTGTTAAATACAAGTTTATTTTCATTAAATTAGTTTTACTTCAAAATAAAACATACATTTACTATTTCTATAATACAATCCCTAAATATATCTATTAGTAAAAAATAAAATAAGCATTTTTTAAATAAAAATCAAATGGTCTTTGGGGGGGGGGATTGAGGATTCACACACACAAAAAAAAAAAAAAAAAAAAAAAAAAAAAAAAGAGAAAGAAAGTAGCCCATAGGTTAAAAATCACTGATCTAGAAGATCAGTCACAGAAGCTGCCCATTTTTCCAATAAGTATCAGATTCCTCCTGCCATGCTCTATCATTACATAAGTCAGATCAGACTCCCCACCACCACCAAAAAAAATGGAGTATTGCTGCCATATCTGAGCTGGAGCTGTCTATCCTCTCCTTCTAGCCTCAGTAGCATTTAAAAGCATCTTCTGGTTGATGAATTATTTCCCACCCTGCATACTCTTTCCAACAGATTGCTGTTTCTTTAGAAAACGTTCTGAGGAACTACATTTCTTAGTTTCACCAGTTCAGACCTTCACAGCTAAAACCTGCCATCTTAGGTAAACAAGAGCAAACCATCCTCATTCCCTTCATATTCCATTAGTATGAAGGAAGTTCCATATAGTCAGCTTCTTCCCAAGAGCTGTTGCTGTGTGGAACAGACTCCCAAGTGGATGCTCCTTCAACCACTACAATCTTAATCTCTTCAAGTTCAGAGTCAACCATTATCTATCCTCATAATCTACAATTCTTACATCCATAAATTCAGGTAGATGGAACTCTACCATCTAGGAGAAGGAAAACCCTGATTTTAAACCTCCACTGCCTTGCAGTCATATCCACAGAAAAGGCCAGAGAAATAAATTCAGACAGAAAACACAGAGTTGAACCTGAAGGTGGTTGACGGTCAACACTGTAAACCTTCCAGCAAGTCCTGCAGTCAAGCTGTCCCCAAATGTAATGCCCTGTATTCCTTTGGGTATTGTTAGTACAGTCATGAGATGGGGAGCCATGTGGTCTGGGCAGCGTATGGCCTCCATATGCCACTCCAGCTTCATCACCAAAAGACGGAATTTTAACCAGACAGAGTGCTACCTGTATCTCATGAGATAAACGAATGCCTACTACATCCATAAAATAGTCCCATTCAGTAACCCATTACCTTGAATGGCTCTTGGGCCTTGTATTCTAGGGAACAATTGTATTCCAAAAAATTTGTTTAATAAATTCCTATATATCCTGTCTTTTGAACTCTCTTGAGTCTGAAGAGCCTCAACAGAGATCAAAAGTGTTTATGCAGCTTTGTGGATGAAGAATTATTCCCCACCCTGCCACTATCTTGGTTTAGGTAAAGAATTAATATGAGAGGGGTGCTGAAAAATTATTGGTCCCACTCACTTCCTGAAATCTAACCAAATGTAAGATTTTGTTTTATTTGAATCCCACTCTTGGGTAAGCTGAGAATTTTTCATAGTAAATAGTTCTCATTTATATTTTTTTGTGCTATTGTTCATCCAAAACAAGTCCCAAGAGCCACTCAAGGTAGAGATTTTGATTGACTGATTTGTGGTTTATGGCTAATCAATCTTTTGCAGGTTATTTAAAGCCAGAAATTTTTTTTTTTTAAGTTGTACTAATTTTTTTGAAGATAATAAAGACTCCAGGAAGAGGAGTACTGAACGAGGTTGTTTTGTGGGTGTAAGAGGAGGGGGAGGTAAGAAGTGCAGATTATGAGGATATGTAGGATAGATAATAGCTGACCATGGAGTTGAAGAGGTTTGACACTATCGGCTACAGGTGGATGAGCTGACCCAGAAAACACTTATCTCAGGTTGAGATAACATTTAAATCATGACTGGAGTCTCCTGGCCTGAATACACTTAAACCAACTGGTTGAGATAAAATTGTAATCGATATGGATGTAGATACTGGTTGAGATAAAATTGTAATCGATATGGATGTAGATTTCTAAGTGGATATTAAACTGTGCTGAAACTAACTGCTGTTTGGTCAGAGAGTCATTTTTTATGAAGCAATACAGGTGGTCAAGATTGATGAAAAACATCTGTTTCGTTCAGGCTTAAAACAGGACACTGATTTGGATAATAATCTTTCACTTGAAGATTATGATTAGAGGAAGCCTCACATGTGGCCTGAAAGAAAAGAGAATTAAATATTTATCTTTTTCTTGAGATTTGATTTCTCCATAAAATAAATTCATACAGCCATTTCTTGATGCTTTTGGTGGTGTCCAGCAGAAACCGGATAATAATAATTTTTTTCAAGAGGCAATCTTTTCCATAAATTGAATTCACCTAAACTTTGAAGTTTAGGAAGAGCTTTTTACACTACAGTTGAGATGGTTCACTGTTAGTTATAGTTCAGACCACTCCTTGTTACGGTCCCTAGAAAGGGATTGGTCGACTGTATCGTGACACCCCAAAGAGAGTAGTAATAGGTTGTTTCTAAGGAAGGAGAGGAGGTTGCAGCTATGAGTGGAAGTCAGAGATGCCGGAGAAGGCAAGTTGGAGTTTGATGGGTGGATTAACCCTATCACTGCCACAAAGGGATGGGATAATTACCCAAAATTGAAATGATCTGATAAAGTTGAAAAGAGTTGCCATCTCTCAAGCCACCGTTAACAGTGGTATACAAATTCCTGCAACAGATTTTTAGTTGTTTGAGATCAGTCACAATGTAAGCATTCAACGGAACTTTTTGACAGCTGTAGAAGTCACTGCAACCAACAGTTGATGGAAGAAATCTAATATTGACAGCCATTATCAGATATTCAGTGAGCCCTTTAGCTCATTGGCTGATCAGACAGCATTATACAGGTTAAGTGCCATACAAGGTAGAGGGTTACTGAAGGAGGTGGTTTTATGGGCATAAGAGAAGGGGGAAGGTAAAGAATTGGAGATTGTGCAAGAGAGAGGAGAGAGAGAGAAAAAAAAAAGGAGAGGGAGCGAGGAAAAAAAGACCAAGGGAAAAAAAAGAAAAGAGTCTTACCTTAGAAATATTTTTAAGTTGAGCATAAAAATCTTTTTTGAAAACTTTAGCTCGTTCTCGATGATACGTATTTTGTTGAGTGAGAATCACAAACACTATATCTTTCAAAGCTGCAAAAAGAAATTAAAAAATTTTTTTTCTTTTAAAATGGAATATTTACCATTTAATTATTTTTATAAAATACTTTAATAATAATAATGGGTTCGTGCAACACACTTTTTTGATGACACCGTTAAAAACAAGTCCATTTTGTTGTAAACTTTTGCATCCACCTACAGAATAATCTTAATAAACACTTAGTTAATCTATCGCAATTATACAGAAATACACTATTATACAAAAGATTATGATCAATTAGCTTGAAGAGAACAAAATTTCTTTTATTAATGACTTTATCTGATTTTCCAGTTTCCTTATTGCTTTCAGTGATACCAGACGTAAGCTCAAATCCTGTTGATAGCTAAGTCCATATTTCTGATTCAGACTGCTTATAAAAAGCAACACAAATAAAATGAAAAGAAAAACTACTTAAAAAAAAAAATAATAATGACAATGTTTCCTGTAGGAAATTCAGTCAAATTGAAACTATTAGATCTATCACTACTATTAAATGTTGTAGATATTAACAAGATTGTGGGTTTTGTGTGTATTTTTTTAGGTAAAAGGTGCATGTTCAATATATAAACAAAGAAGATAGAAGAAGCATAAAAATCCCAAAACATTTAAGTTTCTGCTACAGACATTTATTTTATGTTGACTGAATTGAAACAAAGTTCTCTTGAGTATGTCAGTTTTCCTTTTGGTTCTGAAATAATTTATGGGAAGTAAGGATAAGAATAAGTAAAGATGGTTGAGCTCAAGTCAGCCTCACACCGAGTTGAGACGGCTGAACCACTACTTCATGAGTAGGGCTGCTGAAAACACATCCAAAATGATGTCATTGGACAGTGGGAAGAGAAAGATTGTAACCTTTCCAGAAGTGGAGTCATGAAATCACACAAGACCAGAGACCCTTTCCAGTTTCATTATAACTCACATCCTGGGAAAAATTTTTTCTTGTTTACTATTACTTTATTTATTAGTTTTATTTCATCACCCCCCCCTGTGTAGACAAATCCAACAAAAATGAAAAAGAGTAGACAAGAATTAATAACGATAAAGCTTCTTCTAAGGAAGTTGACAACTTAAGAGGATTTGCTACATGTTGAGTATGCAAAAAAAGAGAAACAGACAGATAGAAACAAACATGGCTGCAATAAGACAGTGTCAAAATGGAGGTTTTCCCCAAAACACCATTGCTTTAACTGCCTTCACTCTTTGGAAAATGTTCGTTTTAAAAAGCAATGATTTTAATTGGAATAAAACAAACATATGAAAGGGAATTTATACAAATCTTTTTTGCTTTTGAGAATTTACAACAAAAATATTAAACACTATTAGATTTTTTACTAATAGAATGAGAACTAATGCAATATTTATCACTTACCAATTTATAAAGAAATAAATGTGAAAACAATTTTTCATTCATAAACATTTACTAAATTACTAAAACATATGAACAAACTATAAGGAAATCCTTATTATTTATCATTTCATAGAGTTTGAATTAATTGGCAATTAGCCGATGTTTTGCCAACCATTCCAATAATGAATATAATAGTGTGTAAATAACAATCTAATAAATAGAGTTTATTATTTTCGTTGTCAATTCTGAAGAACAAAGAATATGTATACATTCACTTTCATATGGTTAGGTTTTATTCCAATTCTAATCATTGCTTTTTAAAACGAATATTGCCGAGGAGTGAAGGTAATTCAGGTGCAGACATTAGGAATATAGAGTTGAACAAGACTTTAAAAGGAAGCGAAAACCCAATCCTAAACAGGGAACAAGGGATAAACCTCTACTCTTGTTCAAAAGACCGGAGAGGAGGGTGAACTAAATGATAGGCAAACCTATCTACTCCTATTGGCAAAACCTGTGTGTTTTTCTTTAACAGGATTAAATTTCAGTTAAAGAAAGCAACCTGTAATTAGGGGTAGAGGGTATGTGGGAGTATGTTTAAATTCTGCACATACTCATTTTTTTAAAAGCAATACTCAAAGAAATCAAAATCTGAAAAAAATTTTTTCAATATAAACTGAAATATGCAATTTTGGCCATCAATGAAGCCAGAAAATAGTGACATAAGAACATAACTCTCCTAGAATGTAAGTAAATTGTAACTTACAACAGGAAAATTTGATAATGATTATTTACATTATTCAGACTATTGTTCTCATCTTTGTCATCATATTTATTACAATGTTTTGTCGATGTCGCTCCCGGCTTTCTTCAGGTGGTTGGAATGTCAAACTGAACCCTTTATTTAAGCTCGCTGGGGTAGACTGTTTCTCTAGTTCCACGTGCCATGTTTAATGGATGTCAGTTATCAATTTATCTCCTGTTAATTTCCTTTGAAAGTTCTCCACTGCCTTAACCGGGTATTGAACTCACACTCTTTGGGTCCTGTCACTGGATCTAAGTAATGCCTTTATCCACTGTGCCATGTGTCCTCGAGTTCAACATTCCAACCACCTGAAGAAGGCCGGAGCATAAAATGGCCGAAACGTTGTAATAAATACGGAGACAAAGATGAGGACAATAATCTGAATAATGTACATAATAACCTCATCTCAGAAATATAGACAGATATTGATAATGATTCATATTAAATCCAGGCCTTAAAGGCAGTGTTTGGTCATTTTATTGAATGTGAAATTAAATGGTTCCTTAAACAGGAACTACAATATTTAGGCCACATAGTGTGTACAGAAGGCATGAAACCACTTCAGGGTAAGGTGGATGTTATTTACATGGCTTCTCATCCTTCTAATGTATCAGAATTAAAATCTGATATGTCACATTTTGGAGGCCAATGTTAAGAAGCCATTGAAATAGGAAAAATTCTAGAGGAATATTGCATGCAAACAGGAAAGTTTTGAAAAATTTGGTGAAAAAAAAGGAAGTTGGAAGATGATGCTGAATGAGAATACAATCAGTGATCAGATTGGTTTTGTTGTCATTTGTGAAGGTGTGTATTATTGCGAGTTGATATGGTGACTGTTGATTTGGTTTTATGCTCAAATTTTCAATACTCAGAACCTAGATGATATGTTCCAACCTTTCCAGGGCCAATTGGATGAATTTTTCAGATCATGAGGTGTGTCAAATTTGCAGTTGAAATTAATTGAATTGAATTTAGCATTACATTTTCTTACTTTATTAATTACCCTTATGTCAAGGTTCATGAACCAATCATAGAAATAGTGTGTCAAATTTTAAAAATGATGCTGCTGAAGTGCTGGGAAGACAAGCAGAAAAGGAATATGGCTTTGGTGACCACACAGATAAACCTGCTTGTGCAACTAAATTACATCTCCTGACAAAAAAGAAGTGAGCTGGTTTACCAACAAATAACCTTGATTTAGAACGTCATTTCTCGTGTTTGGGAAAAGAGCACCAGTAGCCAAGTTTCCTAACAAAAAATTCACAGCAAAAGGAATCTGGAATGATTCAACTCTGTACCAAACACAGACATTTCACAACAAACCAACCAAAAGCTTCATTTCAATTGTTAATCTTTTGAACAACATGGAAAATGAGTAGATAGCTGATCAGAAAGAAATTGAAAATCACGGAGAAAATTGAGAAAGGAAAGAAACAATCAAGGTACACCCAAAAATGTCTTCAACTTTGCAAAAGTTGGAATGGGCTGGCAACCAGTGTTGAAGAGCTTTGTGATATTCTGAAGGTTTGGTTTGTTTTACAGCATATCAACCTCAATGGGTTATTTAATGCCAACAAAATTTTTATTGCCGGTAATGTTTTTCTTCAAAAATCTATTTCTGGGAATATTTTTCCTTGAAGAAATCTATAGCTGGTCATATTTTTTTTCCAAAGAATGTATAGCTGTTTGTATTGCTGGTACTTTTTTTTTTTTTTTTAAAGTATTGCTGATAATAATTTTTCCTTCAAAAATTATTGCTGGTATTAATTTTTTTTTTTTTACAAAGTATTTCTGGTATTAAAACCTATTTTTACACAAGTTTGGGTGTTAACTATTTGCCCATAGCTGGAACCCTAACAGATGCTACCACCCCGGGTCAGGGTGGACCTGGGAACACCAGCAATTAAGAGGTGGTTCCACGCTTTTCAAAACCTCCTGATCAGAGGCCTTGCTACTGGACGTAGTTTATCGTCATATTCAGGACGGGATATTCTGAAGGCAAATCATGATAATGTTGAAAACGTTGTTTGTATTAAAGTGTTATAGTATCACGATATGATATAAATTAGATATCCTTCAATACCCAGATTTGTTCAGGATCAACAATATTAGTGATGTTGAACAGCTGCTGAATTTATGTGCAATTCTTTCAGGCAATGATCTAATATCAGAATACGTTACATTGCCATATAACAAGGATGCAGAACTGTTTCTTCCTTCATTCCAAACCAGTTCTTGCACTGAGGATGACAAGAATGATAATGTGGTTGGGATGAATTATGTCACCTTGGTTACTGAAGGTGGTGTGGACACATGGTACTTAGCAGCTTGCACTGAGAAACGATGGCACATACACAATGGAACACCGTCATAAACTTCAGAAATCATCTCATCCGAAATGAAAACACCCTGCAAAACCAGACAGAGACATCTTGAAACTTGAATCCATTGTTGTATGTGATATTGATGGTGAGTGGGATATTTGCAAGAAACGGAACATAGCATACACATTGAGAAATCATTTGTACATAAACAAACTGGTAGAAAGGCTTCTTAAAATAGGAATTCAGTTTTGTGATGTTGTGACCAAGTTTGCTTAAAATTGAATTTACAATTTTATCATTCATAACTTGTGTTTCTCTTCCTATTTCAAATTTAACCCTACCCCAGTCATATTTTTATTTACCATTAAACTCATAAGGACCCCATGTTAAGTAGTATATGAATCTTTGATGTTTCAGAGGGACAATACATTCTGGCTAATATGTCATGCACAAATGAAATTGGTCAGGGATTTTCATGGTCCTTGAGTTTTCAGCACTCAATCTATTTTATTTTTGATTATATATTGGGCTGAAATGGAATTTTACCGAAAATTCTTCAGCATAATAAATACCATGGTTCAATAGTCAGATGAAGTTAACAAATTTCTGAGGATCTCTGAGGATTTTAGGTCAGCATTTTCCCAAATGGTTATCAAGTTACTATAATTTTTGGTATTTTGACCCCTAAAACACTCATTTTGGACCCTTTATCAGCTGTTTTTCAAGACTGAAGTGACAAAAAACCCCAATCTTTAGTCTTATGCAGTTGTGCTATTTATCATAATTATATTGCACAACAAAAAAACATGATTTTTGTTGAATGACACATTAGATGTGTCAGACTATCAAATATTCAGCAGAATTAATGGTCCAAAATAAGCATGTTCAGTTTTAAGGACAGCTATTCGTCAGAAATACCCCAAATCATTTTTTTCTTCAGATTCTGCTTAGTATTATAGAAATCTTCAAAAAGAAATGGGTTATACACCAAATCTGAAGATAGAGGTCAAAATTGACATCATACCTGCTACCTTTACTGTAATGGGCATTTGAATAACAAAAGATGCTTTCCAAAAGTTAAGCAAAGTATTGTTTGATGGATTCATTTTCTATGGCTTATTAACCCTTTGCAGGATATTTAAAGCCAGAAAATAGTGAATATAATGAACTGAACTGAAATTGAAACTCAGCTCTCTGATTAACAATTCTAGGCCATTATCCATTATACCATCCACACATTTGAACTTACAGCACCAGGTATTCCCAAGTGGTCACCTATCTAGGTACTGACCAGGCTTGATGTTGCTTAACTTCCATGATCATATGAGAACTGGTGTTTCAACCTGATATGGCCATAAGCCTGCAAAGTATTAAGAAACAGGAAAATTTCATTAGAAACAAAGAAAAAAGTGTTGAACTGTTATGTAATATTGGTCCTTCTATATGGCAGTGTATGATGGACAATCTCCTCACAGATGAAGAGACATGAGGCAATAGAAATATAGTTCTACAGAAGGATGTTGAGAATGTCATGTATTGAACATGTGAGTAATAACATTTTTGAGAAAATGGAAATAAAAAGGACACTTAGAATCAGAAAGGGAAAATCTAGAACACATTAGGAGGAAAGACGGCTTGGAGAATTTCACACTCACAGGACATATTGAAGGCAAGAAAGGAGAATGCAGTCAGTAACCTAACAGGCTTGTGTAAATGGTTGATAGAACAGGGATTGGGAGGGATAGTGAAAAGAGAAACTTTACTAAGAGCTACATAAGTAGGAAGTTGTGGAGAGCCATAATCGCCCACATCCAAAAGGAACAAAGTATATAGAAGTCACGGAAAAATAATAGCCAAAATAAATTATATTTCATCACAAATGCACAACTTCAAATCCAAGACAAGGCTCAGAATATGATGTTAATGAACAAAATCTGAAAGTGTTAAATTGGTTGAGAAAATAGACAAAAGTGTGAAATAAAATGGAGGTAGAAATTGAAAGATATTTGCACATAAGTGAATATAACAAACACAACAGAAATTGGAACTTGGCTCTCTGATTAATTCACAGTCATCCCCCACTCCCTATCCAAGCTTACAACAGCTGGTATTCCCAAGCAGCCACCCACTTAGGTACTGAACAAGCTCAACATTGCTCAACTCCAACCTTTCAATGTGATATGGCTGTAAACTCTTTTCTGACGTGGACAGAAAGAATACATACAGTATCTTGCATAAATATTTACCCCCACTCCCAAACTCTTTCACACTTTGTAGTGTTGCCCCACCCCACACTCTTCCACATTTTATAGTGTTAATTTATTCAACACAAAATGCACAGTGCTTTAAAAGGTGCAGAATATATTTCTTTGTGATACACACACATTTAGTACAACAAAGCAGTCATCTCTTGGATGCGTAAGTATTCAATTCACCTCCCCCAAGTCAATACTTTGTAGAACCAACTGTGTTGCAATTACAGCCACAAGTCTTTGCCAGCTTTGCACATCTAGGCACTCTTAAAATTTATTTCCACATTCTTCACAAAATAGTCAGATTCAATTGTCATGACCCGTGAACCCTAATTTAAGTCTTCCCACAGATTCTCAATTGGGCTTAGGTCTAGGCTTTGACTGGACCATTATAACACATTAATATGCTTTGATCTCAACCATTCCATTCAGAGCAAGGATCTTATGGGCAACCCACTAAATTTATGCTTTGCCCCCACCCAACTACATCTTAATTTTTGTAAAGTAGTATTCATATAAAATACAAATTTTATTGTAACCTAATTATGTACAATAATAGATGATATGCAATATAGGTGAACAATTCAACTAGAAAAATTGAAAATAAATGCAGTGTATCTAAATACAATTTAGAGACACAATAGATTAAAGTATCTCAACAATGGTGTAATGGTTAACAAGCTTGTCTCACTAGAACAATTATGACCAAGTAGTGAGTTTGATTCTCACTGGGTGCCCTATACCTTCAGTCTTGTGCTGCATCTAAGCTATACTTAGAAAATCATATCATAATAGATCATTCCATCTTAAATAAATGGACAATGTTTTATGGTAATTTTTAATATCAACTTAAGATTTTTCATGTTAAAAAGTTGAATAATATTACACATTGAACATTAGGGGAAAAAAAAAAATAGTGAATTTTATAAAGTATTTTATCAAAACTTAACACAGGCAAAACAAATTCATGGATTTGGACAAAAAAAAAATCCTTGAATTTCATCAAACTTTTCATCCTTTAATAATCAATTGTGCTTAGTTTAATTTATAATGGATATAAATGCAGATACTAAAAACAAATGTTGACAGGAAGGGTCACAAAGCACTGCTCGGGGCTCCCTCTAGTCGATTGGTTTGGGTATGTACCAGCTCTGATTGCATTGTAGATCTGGCTGTATGTTTTGGGTTGTCCTGCTGGAAATCAACCCACCACCCACTATAGTTTTGAATCTTTTGCAGACTGTAACAAGTTTTCTTTAACCTTTAGCCCTCTGCATTATTAATATTATTTCCTTTTCCACTGCATTTTTTTTTTCAAGGTTTCTCAATTGCAGTATCCTTATTGTTAATTTCACTAAAAGTTATTTTCTGTTGCCATAGCAGGATATGACAGCACAAATATGAAATTCACACAAATTCAAATTCAGGAATCAGGGTCACTTTCAGTGGAAGGATAAACTTTTTGTATAGCAAATGAAGTCACATACAGAATAATAAAGGTTAAAGATGACCCTGTATTTGGCTCCATCGATTCTCCAACCAATTTTGATCACTTTCCTTGGTATCTTCATGGGTGACAGCTAGTGAAATATCAGCTAAAGTTTCTCCATAGCTGTCACCCATTTCATGGTGGGGATGGTATGCTCAGGGCGGCATGCAGTGTTAGGTTCCCGACCCCCATGCAGTGTTTTGCATTAAGGCCCAAAGTTCAATTTTGGTCTTCTCTGACCAGAGCACATTTTGTTTTTATGGCTTAACCCTTTCTAGGTTATTTAAAGCCAGAAATATTTTTAAATTATAAGAAGTTTTTTTTTTTGAGACAATGATTTAGTGATACAAGTCTTACTAATTAACCCATAGCTGGGGGGAAGAGGTGGATTCATACCTTTCCTAGGAGTATTTGCACGAAAGTAAATATAACAAAGCCAACTGGAATTGAAACCCGGTTCTCCAATTAACAAACATTACACATTGCATGACCAAGCTTACTGCACCTGGTATTCCCAAGCAGTCACTCATCTAGGTACTAACAAGGATCATACATCAAACCCATGTTTCAACATGATATGATGGTAAGTCACAGATTTGCAGTGTCTCCCCAGTGTCTTGTTGCCTGGTTGTTTTGTTTTACAGCTTATCAACCCACATAGATTGTGACAAACTACAAACAGAACTTCTTATGGCTTTCGTCTTTCCACTTATCAATAAAGGCCATATTTGTTAAGTGCATGATTAACAGTTACCCTGTGGACAGATTCCCCCACCTGAAGCGGTAGATCTTTGCGGTTCCTCCCAAGATACCATGGCTCTCTTGGTTGCTTCTCTGATTGATGTTCTCCTTGCCTGTCCTGCCAATTTAAGTGGATGGTCTGTCTTACTAGGTCTCAAGTTGTACCATACTCTTTCCATTTTTGAATGACTGATTTAGCAATACTGCATGAGATGTTCAAAACATGGAATATTTTTTTTTTTTATAGCCTAACGCTGCTTTATATTTCTTCATAATTCCATCCCTGACATGTCTGCCGAGTTCCCGAGTCTTCATGATGCTACTTATTTGATAATAGTCTCTAGTAAACCTTTGAGGCCTTCACAGAACAAGTGTATTTAACTGGAAAGTACAGAATCAATGGGGACATGGCAGAGTGGTTAGAACGTTCACTTACTGACCATGAAACCCATGGTCTATTTGTCAGGAAGGCGACTTCTTGATGTTATCAATCTGGAGGAAGTGATTCCATTGTGTGGCACCTTTGGAAAGTGCCTGAAAACCATATCACAGGTTGACCCAAGCCTTGTGAGTAAAAGTTGGTGGTCATGCTAGCATGAAGTCACAAGTCAATGTGACTGAGGATTTGAGCATGGTAGCCTTATTCAGACTTTTGATCACACTAGATAATGTGCTCTCTCCCAGAAACTTATGGTTTGTTCAGCATAGTTGCAGTATAAATCACAGCTGGGCTCTGTGGCCATTGAACAAACACAAGTGTGCCTGAGCAGGTGTCTCAATGGAGATTAGCTAGTGGCTGGCGACATTTACATTACAGAATCAAGATCTTAACTTTTTATTTGAATATTTCCTTTGCTCAAAAGAAATCATCCAGTGGACTATATTTAATAATAATTACATGACTTCTGAAGGTAATTGGTTAGACAGGGTTTCAGAGTAAAAAAGAGTGGAGAAAATATATATGCACTCAATACTTTAGATTTTTATTTATCAATAACTTTGAAAATCTCCTCTCCCACTGCAAAATGACACACTGTTTTCAGTTAGTCCATAAAACATTTAAATTTGTGGTTGTAATGTGACAAAACTTGGAAAGGTTCAAGGAGAGGGGCGTGAATACTTATACAAGGCACTGTAATTATATATATATATTTTTTTTTTTTTCACTTTAAAAATAAGTCAATATGAAATAGACAAACTGTTCAAGTCAGGACAAATCAATTGTAAAAAAAAAAAAAAAAAAAAAAATCGACTATGCCTCATTGCTATAGATTTTTTAGGATAACTGAAATTGACTGATCCACTCGTAAAATTTACACATAAAAACAGGGAAGAATTTGAGATGTGTGTGTGTGTGGGGGGGGGTGAACATGACACTCGTCTTCTAAATCAATCAATATTTTTTTATTCAAGTAGTGCCCCAAAACAAATTAAAGCAATAATAGCAAGTTAATTTAATTAGCTGCTTTTATTTAACTAGTATGATGATGCATTTTTTTTTAATCCAATGTCGCCCAAAGGGTATCATTACGAAAAGCAGGTGTTATTGACTTCCATTATGAGTGATCTGTTGAATATTCAGGTGTGGACAAATTGGCAGTGACGTTGAACGTTTAACGGTTAACTGGTCTACTCATTCATTATAAGAAAATAAATGCAAGAATTTTTTGTGGGGTGCGGGATGCATTTTTTATAGATTAGCATTCATTAACTAATAACTTCCTTTGGAAGTAGGGTCCTGTTTAGTTTAAGTTTTGAACTGTTCTCCTCTCAAAACTCTTCCCTCCACTGAGTCAACTTCAGTAGTACCGACAATAGCAATGAACAAACTCTGCAGACGTTTTCCTTAAAAGTAGAAAGAGAATTACACAAGGAATCACCAAAATAAACACTACTAAATAAAAGATCGAATTAGCCCATTATGCCCCACCAAGTTAAAATAAAAAGATAAATAAATAAACAAAAGTTTTACAATAACATTTGTAATGTGTGTCCACTTTGAACTGCGTTTCATTTCTTCGTAACCATAATAACAAAATGAAATAAGAAAAAGAAATATTTTTGGTTATGAAACTCAATTTTTTTTAAAGTTTAACATTTGACTGTGTTTTCTGGAGTTCACCCAGACTCAATGGAACGAACTAAATTTTTAAATAGATTCATATGTTTCGTCTTTAAGAGAGAAAAACAGACTGGCTGTATAAACCACACGTTTTGACAGCAAACAAGAAAAAGAGAGAAAAATTCAACTTACCTAAATTTTCAGATTTATTTGCTTCCAAAGTATAAGCAACATTGATAAATATTCCTTTAAAAATAAATAAATAAAAAAATTAGTCAATTTCAGATATTTACATTCAGTCAAAATGGAATAAAGTACTGATCAATTTTAGAATTCAATATTTACCTGTAAAGAAAACTAATATAAAAAATATCGTAGACCAACAAAAATAGTTTTTCCTCTTTTTAGCGGACATTATTTCAAAATAACATGAACAAAATGCCAAAATGTTTTGTCAGCAGGTAACTTTTAGCGGCAACACCGGTTATTTTTGTAAAATCAATTTCCATTGGTTAAAAGATTCGGTTGAGAACTAATGGCAATTAATTTTACAAATCTAATGATATGCACGTGTAAATCATGCCTGATTTTTTTTCATTGATTATTAACTTATTAATTTAAATAACAAGTTTCCATTAAAAAAAAAAAAAGGTATTAAAAAACTGCGATATTTTTAATTTTCAGCTTATGCCCACAAAATTATGCCTTCAAATTTACCAGGAGTTCGTAATTATTGAAATTGTTATTAAAGAATGGGAAGCTTTTTTTATTTGAAAAAAAAAAAACTAAAAGAAATAAATGTGTCAAGTCAACTGTCAACAAAATCACAATTATTCGATAATTTAATAACCAAATTACCATTAAACAAAAAAATACAAGCGGATAACAAAAGACGAAGGATTATTGTGGTTGTTAAAAGTAATTTACAAAGATATAAGAAGAAAATATTGTACAGTGTAACCCGGATATAAGAGACCCGGATATAAGAGAAACCCGGATATAAGAGAGATTTTCCCTGGTCCCAAATTAGAGCCTGTGAATAGACCAAACCCGGATATAAGAGAAACCCGGATATAAGAGACTTCTCCGGTCCCGACAACTCTCTTATATCCGGGTTACACTGTAATATGTCAAGCGTAAAAAGTCTTTAAAGGCTTTTTTTATGAAACCCCCTAAAATTTTCACGATATATCAAAATGGGAGCGGTATGAAACGTACCCACTCGAACATATTTCTACAAACCTTTTTAAAATAATGACCTATTCAACTTGTCAAGATAAAATTCATTCATAGTTGATAAGTATTGATTCAATACTATTGAAAATTTAATTTAAATGGGATAATTTCCTGATTTTTGCTAAAAATTATCTTGCTTATTATAAAACGCAGATTGTGTGTGTGTGTGTCTGTACGTTTATATATTGGATCGGATTTCCTACATTTTTCAACCGATTTCAACAAAACTTCACAGGACTACGTAAAATTACCTTGCGGTGGTTCTGACAGCGCCAAAAATTAGAAAAACACAATTGTTTTTGCACGAAATCAATTTGAAAACACAATTAAGAGGCATTAATGGAAGGGGGACAACTCATATCGAGTTATACTTATTAATATCGAGTTATACTTATTATAAAACCCAGGTTGGTTGTGTGTGTGTGTGTGTGTGTGTTCGTTTATATAGCGGATCGGATTTCCTACATTTTTCAACCGATTTCAACAAAACTTAACTTTTTTTTTGGCAGGTAGTGTTTAAGAATTGTATTGCACACTTTTTTCTTTATTTTTACATTCACAATGCTTTAAAAATTCCATTTAGAAGACAATTGTTTATAATAAAATTCTATTCAATCGGTAGACTCATAACGATTGAAAACAATGTTTTTGTTTGGGTTTGGGTTTGACCAATTCGTAAAAAAGAAAAAAACTAATTAAGACATGCATGTCCGTCAACCTTAAACAATAATCTTTGTCAATTTTATTTTTCAGTCTTTATGATGGTCGATACTTGATCTATCTCTTACTGTTACATCCTCGGGCAACGCCGTCTATACTGCTAGCTTTTAATAAAATAAAACGATAAAATTGTACGAGAAAAAATAATTAAAATGTTGGAATTATCTAAAAATTAATGTAGAGTGTTACTGTTATGTTTTTCATATTTCATTACGTAGTTGTAATCGTCGTAGTACAGTTATCTGTGTCCTGAATAGCAACCAGGTTTGCTAGGCATAGCTCCCCCCCCACTATGTTCGCCAGTTGTTCTCTATTTATACTGGTCTGTCTAATTTGCATACGATACTACATCTCCCTGAATCAGAAAGGTCGTATACCGTTGTTTTTTTCTTTTACTATTCCTGATTATTTTCGTATTGTGTTGTCCTTCCTCTTCTCGTCATTCTTATTTTCTCTTTAATGGTGATCTTGGTCTCTCTTCATTTTCTTTTTCATACTCGTCTGTCTTTTCATTCTCACTTTCTTCCATTTCCTTCTCTGTTCCACTTTTGTAACTTTCTGTCTCTTCTTGTTCTTGATCTTCCATTTCTACGTCAGCCAATTTGTTTCTGCTTCTGAATTGATCTGCATGTCCCAGTATATGTTGTTCCTTTTTCTCAAGTATAGCCGTGTTGTGTCCTTTTTTGTATCAGGAAATTTGCTTCTTCTGGATTAGCCTCTTTATTCTTTCTATACCATACCTGTTCTTTCGTTGCAAAGGACATAGTTTTTCTGATTTATCTTCCCATTACTGAAGGTCTCAGTTTTCTTCCCGCATGTGAAATGGATCTGTAACTGACGAGCATTTTTGGTAGATACGCTACTATGCTTTCATTAATTGGTGAGAATGCTTTTAATCCCATTTTTACCGTTTGTACCATTCTTTCTGCAATGCCATTAGATTATAGGTGATATGGTGGTGTCTTGTATGGGATGCATCTAATTTGTTTTAACCACGTACATAAGTTCTCATCGCAAAATTCGTGTGCATTGTCGGTGACTACTTCTGGGGTACTACATTCCTTGAGAATATAGTTCTTAGTACTTGTTTTATTGTGGTGGCTTTTCTGTCTTTGACAACCCCTGGCCATCCTGAATATGAGTCCACTAACACTAAGAACAATTCCCTATCTTTGATATGTGCGTGATCCATGTGGACACTAACCCATGGATCTGCTTCCTTGGGCTATGAGTGAATTTTTGCTTGTTTGAAGTTTTTTTTTGTTTTTTTTTCGCTCATTTTGGGCATCTCTTAACGTATTACTCTACATCTTTTGAATATCCTGGCCACCAGGTTTGTAATTTTAGCCTCCTTTGTGCTGCTGTTATGCCACAATTCACGACATCAAGTGCTCCTTTTAATATGTCCTTTCTCAGTATTCGTGGAGTTACTATTATATCCCTATTGCATATTATGCCATTTTCTATGGTTAGTTTGTGCTTCGTTTCTTTAAAGGGTCGCTCCGCCATCGAACAATTGCTCCAGATATTAATTTTTTTATTCTCTTTACTATTCTGCTTAATATTGGGTCTTGCTTTGCTTCTATCTTGAGTCTATTTAGAGGAAGAACCTCCGTTTCTACCCAGTGTATTGTTTTATCTTCAGTATTTTGTTTTTCTTCTGTTTCTTTCTTGAACTGTAATCTTGATAAAGCGTCTACGTGAGGGACGGCGTTCTCTTTTACGTATACTATGTCAAAATCGAATGCCATGATTTTTACTGCCCATCTTAAAATTCTTGACGATGTGACTTTTGACAATTCTTTTCTCGAGTTAAACATGAATTCTGATGGTTTGTGGTCCAATTTTAATAAGAATTTTTTTTTCTATCAAAAAGTTTCATACGCTTTCCATGCTCCATACAAACGCTAGTGCTTTTTGTCAATATTCGAGTAGTTAGTTTCTGCTGACGTTAACCTTCTTGATGTGTATGTGAATGGATATTCTTCTTGTGTTAGAATAGTAGCGATAGTTTGCTTTTGTGTCCAGTTAAATTCATTGTTTTTTTTTGGGGGGGGTGCGTAATTTTGCAAATGGGTCTCTTATGTCGCTGTATCTTGGTATGCATTTTTTGCTATAAAAATTTATTAGCTCCAAAAAGGATTCTAGTTTTTTTTATTTGCTGGAGTAGCTATTTCTGTTATTTTCTTTGTTAGTCTATTGTCGGGTGATACGCCTTCTTTTGATATTTGATATCCTAAATATGATGTCTTCTTACAGTCAAAATTACACTTGTTTTCACAGCCATGCCTGCCTTTTTTAATTTCACTAAAATTTGCTCTGTTTTATATTTTAATTCTTCTTTAATTCTTGCCCCTACACATATATCGTCCTGGTATATTATTATATTTTTTATTTTTCCAAATAAGACTCAATTGCTTTTTGAAAAATATGGCTCGCAGTCTTTACCCCAAATGGTAGATGAGTCCATCTTAGTAAGCATATAGGGATTTTATCGTGGTGATTTCCTTGAATTTCTCATTAATTTCTATTTGGTTGTATGCTACATTGAGAACAATTTTTGCAAAGTGTTCCATTTTTTGCTAACTCGTGGCTCGCAGTTTCGATATTTGGCAAAGGAAAAGAGTCTGAACATATCTGGTGATTTACCCCTATCTTATACACTGTGAATTCATTTTGTTTTTCAAATTATTATATATTTAAATTTTCTACCGAATTCTGTTAGGGAACTCAGTTAATTTAAAACGAGCACCAATTCAACTATTCCCTTCAAATATTCCCTACAATACACTCTGATTCAATGAGGAAATGAATGAGTAACAAATGGGTGAACAGAGATACGTAACTAATTCAGGATATTGTGGGAAAACGAAATAAAACTGAACAATAAAATAATAATAATGAGTAATAAATGTTCCTATTATGCTAAGAGTAAAAGAACCAGAAATATGTTACCACCATCTGGTTTCGCTTAACGTTGCTATGTAGCATTGTTGAAGCCTATAAAAAGGCAAACATGTCCTGTCTTACTCTCTTTCTCCTCCTTACTCCAAGATGTAGAACCATGTGGTAAATATGTTCTCACTGAAGAATGTTGGTTTCCCAGGTCTACTGACGGCTTCCCATTTTTCGATGTGTGGCACTCGCACATGTCTTACAAAAACATCAACCTCTGAAGCAGATCAAGCGTTCTCTATGGTTGTTCCAACTCAGCGCAAGGCTGACCTGAGCGTGATCTTTAGTAATCATGGCTGTATTGACTTACCCCAACTTCTGAACCAAGAAAAACAAGATGGACATCCCATAACCATGTTTAAACCTTCCAATGATAATGTAAAAACTTTCCTTTGGTTGTTACAAACTCTGCGCAAGGCTGAATTGAATTCAACTATGAATACGATACTTATACTTGCCTACCCTAACTTCTAGATCAAAAAAGAAAAGACGCTGAGAAATTTGTTCCACTAATGTCACTATAAAAAAGAGAATAAACTCTTTGAACTCAAGTTTTTGTATGCTTCTGTCTTCTTTGTTTACATATTGAACACGTAACATCACCTAAAATGCACACAAACATGCCACCTTCTAAAAATCTTGTAGGGATACAGAAAGCTCTTATCTTCCTTTGGTGGAGATAAGTCATACAAGTCACGTGACGGACAGCTTAGTGACGTCACTCGATACAGTGACTACAGCAGTAGGCAAATTCAGTTCGTTTTACAGTAGCCAAACAAAAAAAGTTGCTTTTCTGTTGGGATTATCTCACCGACGAGTAAGGGAGGGGGGAAATGAAAGACGGTTTCAAGGCTTGCAACGAAAAGTCTGACGTTGCTTACAAGCGAAGTCTTCCTTGTAACGGTAACAAAAGTCAAATGACTAGTAACACTCGGTACTCTCCTCTGCATAACAAGTGAGCTCTACAAAGGATCTGTAGAGAAAAAAAAACTCAATTTGCGACTGAAAGTAGCACCTTTTAAACTCTCAAGGTCTCGTTCAACGTGATTCTAGGTCTCGTTCAACGTCATACGACGAGACCAGAGCGTCTATAAAAATCGTCAATCCTTTGACCCTGGTTCGGCCCGGAAGAAAAATTACTATTTTAGACGACGACGCCGCCAGAGCACATACTTCTCCCTCCCGACCTACCCTCGGTGAGTACAATACATTGTTCTTTTTTTAGTCACCACATTTCATGGCCCGCGCAGAGGCTAAATCTACCACTTCAGTAGCTTACATATCCATGGTGCTGTTTCCTTCGGGAATATATCTTTCCAGCTCGCACTCCTCAATTTGAGAAAACTCAAGACTAGCTGTTTCCCGTTCGTAGAATATATCTTCACCTGGGACATAGATGAATTTGAATCATTTGAATCTGAAGAACTAAACATGGCTTCTCCAGATACAGGTGTATCTCCATATTATATCTATTCCTTTTTGTTTCTCCTTACACTCTGCTTTCCTGTATAGATATATGTAATATATTATTCTCGGCATGAGACACGTGTATATATGTATATATGGTTTTGTGTATATTTTAGTAGTATAAAAGTGTCTCTGAGAACAAAGAATATTTGTCATTCCTTTTCCTTTCAGCCATTCTGTTCTGTCTGTGAAATAGGGTTTTATTATGTCATGGATATAATAATGCCCATAATGGGGGAAATAAATCTTTCTATCATGATTCTCTCCCGTTACAATGTATTTAACTAAAAGCAGATATAAAAATTTATGCGACCCCCCACCCAAAAAAAAACAAAAAGAAAAAAAACTGCTACTATCTAGACCAGCGTTACTTAGCTGGTATCCGAATTTGCCCCTAAAGGTGGCAATGTGCGCTCCAAGTTAACAAAGTAACTTATGAATTATGTATATATTTTTTTAAAAAATTAGAGACACCAAGCACATGGCTTCCATGCCTAAGTCAATTGACGTTTCAACTGAAGAAGAGGAGCTGGTCACTATATCTGCTGATCGTGGATTACAAATCATATATAAAGAGGTATCCATTGAGAAATTTTGGATTTCCATTAAAGAAGAATATCATTCAAGAGCTAAAGCAGTGAATATTTTATTGCAATTTTCCACATCATAACTCTGCGAATTTTTAACTCTGAATTAGTTAAGCATCTCACCTTGCGGGGTTTCTTTCGGGTAAGTAATATGAATTTCGCTTCTCTATGTCAACTGCTGATATATTAACGATTATTACTGAAAGAGTCTATCAAGCTTTAGATAAGAATGGTTGCTTTTAGATATCTCAAAGGCAGTTGACAGGTCTTCTTCACAAGATGAAAAGTTATGATATTTCTGGATGAATTTTTGAACTGATTCAGTTTTCTTATTGAATCGCGAAATGAATGTTATCTTGAATGATTACTATTCTAGATTTTTTAAAATTAATGCAGCAGTAGGGTTTTTGTCAAAATATCTTTCCAAACAAACCAGCTTATTCAAATTTCATCGATTGGTTTGCGGAATTGAACGAAACATAAAGTTTGTAAATCTCGACAAAAATGTTAGCGATAAAACTTCAACAAGACTAAATACTGTGAGGATTTTAACACGCGTCAGCGGGTTGCAAAAAAACTTCTAATAAAGAGTATTTCTGATAAAGCTTTTTTGAAATGTTGAATTTGAAGATACCCGGCAGATTCTTTGCTAGATTTTGTCTTGTCTCTCAATAATAAACTGGCCATTAGATGCTGATAGCTTTTAACGCCTTCAACTTGTTTTTCTTTTCACTAGTTTTTCTCAGTCTTTTTTTTTTTTGCATTAATCCAAGTTTCCTTCCCCCAAGGTTCTATCGTTGTACCTTCATTGTTCCTAATTTTAATCAATGACATTTCTGACGTCATAAGTTCTCAACTCAGTATCTATGCTGATGTCACAACTATTTAATTCTGTCTTAATTCTAAGTCTGATCGGTTCGATAAGGTCAAATTGGCAGCTCATCTAAAAAATGACATACAATTCGTGGTCAACTGGGGCAAGAGGTGGCTTGTTACCTTTAACGTCCCAAAACTTTAACTGCTCTCTTTTAATCGTCTGAGAGAACCTTTTTTTACTTTCCATCAGTATGGCTGATGCTAAACTACAGCAGAGTGACTCGTTGCACCTTCTTGGACAAACGTTTTCAGTTGACCTGAAGTGGCAAGATTATAATGAATCAATTGCTAAGTTTGCAGCTAGAAAAGTTGCTTCACGGTATCAGGCTAGACAATTTTTCTCACCAGTAAGTACTGTATTTGCCTTTATGATTGGTCCTGACCTGGCATCTAGCCTTCAGTCACTTTTACGAACTAACATTTGCTGACCTGAAGTGTCAAGATTATGATGAATCAATTGCTAAGTCTGCAGCTTGGAAAGTTGGTTCACCGTGTCAAGCTAGATAATTTTTCTTGAATGAATCTATCTTACATATTTATAAGTCTACCATTCGTTCATGCATTGATTGTTGTTGCCACATCTGGTCCGGTGCTCCTGCTATATATTTAGAGATTCTTGATAAAATCCAAAGAAGAATCTGCAATGTTATTTGTCTTGAAAGGCACCTCACCTTCTGTCCCTTTCCCGTAAGGCAGCTTCCCTGTGCCTTTTCAGTTAATACTTTCGAGGTAATTGTTGAACTTTCCTCTATGGTACCTAGACTTTATGAATTTAAGCGCAGTACGAAATTTTCGGCAAGCTTTCATCATTTTACAGTTAAAATGGCTCGATGTAACAGTAAGTTCTATGCTAATAGTTTATTTACTTGTACTTCTCTCTTCTGGAACTCTCTTCCGGATTCTTGCTTCCCATTCAACTTTGATCTTCAAAAATTTAAATGCAATGTCAATCATTATCTTCTGTCTTCGTAATTTTTGTTCTGCCATTCTCCTCGCTCAATAGTATATTTTTCTCATATTCTCTAACTCTCAGTAACGTCTTGCATCTTAGTGGCTCTATTGCCTTGCTTGGGGGGGGGAATTATTAAAAAAAGAATGAAGATTTTCTGAACTTATCAATACTAAATGCAAAAATGGATCAAATATTAAATGCATTGATGAGAAAATGAGTATGTTTATGTTGTGGATTCCGAGATGAATTCGGTCTCCAATGAAGAACAAACGCAATAAGTAAATATAAGAAATAAAATGTATTTACACAATCATACAAAGGGTAAAACTATTAGTAAATCCAGGAACACGGTTAGTAGCAAATACAGATAGATAAATACAGTCTCGGAGTAGGACTTCCTTAGAGTCTACGTGCTTGTAACTGACTTCTACAAGAGGCTACCTCACACTATCTCCGTTCGTATATTCTCTCACTATCCGACTACCCTCACTGACTGTCTAACTCTGGGTATTTAACGGCAGCCGTCCAGGTACACTGGTAGAGTCCACTTATATGAAAAAAGGGGTGGACCCCATAACAGTTTATCACATACAAAGCCTAATATTAAAAGAATTGCCAAAGCATATCACGCACAGGTTTCACAAAGCAGACTTAAATATACAATGTCATATCTTAAAAATAAATGTTTATTTTGGGAGACTTCTTTATTATTTTCATATTTTCAAATTCCCTGACTAATTTTTCCTCATTAAAATTTAAAGTGCACCCTAGAGTTTTAATTATTTTACAAGTGCGACCCGAAGTAAAAAAAAAATGGTTGAGAAGCACTGATATAGTGTGAAGACTTTGTCAACCTATCAGGTGTTAGGATTCAGCCTGTTGCTACTTGGTTAGGGGTCATTGTTTGAAGTTGAAAAGCTGTCGTGCGTCGAAAAAAAAACTAAAAATGTCAAATTGGTTGAGAAAATAGACAAACAAGAGAGTCAAGGTGTGACAGAAACATTTATTCTACCGGGAACATTTTTTTTTTTTTTTTTGGGTGGGGTTAGAGAAAATTTAAACTAATGTTCTTAAGAGTCTCTGTAAATAATGAAGGAAAAGTTGAATTAGCGAGTGAGTGATTTGCACAGTCTCAGAAATGTGAGGCTACTGCACGGAGCGCTAATTTTAGCATCCTATCTCTATCTCGGTACACATTGAAAGAAAACTAGCCTCTTTTGATTTACAGCATGTATGCTCCCTGTCTCCAGCTTTCTTTTTATGCATGCCCAAAAGTTGGAAAGGGGTTACTGTTGCTGGTAGGGTTTTCTATGCATGCATGTCTAACAAAAAGTTTAACATCTGCTACAAGCCTTTTTAATAAGTCTTGCTTCTGAGTCTGATTGTAGTATATAGTACCTGGTAAAAAAAAAGTCCCGGAAAAAAACTTAATAATAGAATTCCTTTTGAAGACTATTTCCGCCCAATCAAAATAACGGAAATTTGGAACTCAAGACAATTTTGAACAGTAGCCGGTCAGTATAGTTTAAAGTAAACTGACCAACCAGATTAATCATTATTCATCGCGATTCAGTTTGTAAGTGAGTACTAACGGGGGGATTTTGGTCAGCAGAGCAAGTGACTTTAGCAGCGAGTTGAAGAATGAAGTATCAGTCTGAAATATCCATGACTTTCAAAGAACGCTGGGACAACATACAAAAGCTTAAAAACAGATAATATGTGTCTGAAACCAACACACAACGTGACGAAGTTTCCCATAATAATACAAAGTCAGGTCACTCTTTTCAATTATGACTCTACAAGGTAGTACCAACTTCTGGAAGTTTCCACACGTGACAATCACACTGCAACACCTTACATTTATCAAACAGACGTTATCTCCTCTACATCGACTTACCGATTTCTGAACAAAATTGATAAATCTATATTCTCTTTTCAAAAGACTGTCTGAACATTTTGTGAATTTTGCTGACAATTTACTTTCTCTACCAAGGGTTTCTTTTTTTTTTATTTAACTTCTGCTACTGCTATAAGTCCCCATTTTCTTTTGAAGATTTTTGTCTAATTTATTGCGGTAGGTGCATGAATTGGTGTACAAATTTCTGTTGCTAAAGATTTCTCTTTACTAACTACAGATCAGAAGTTTGCGTGCTTGCATCACGCTGGAGTACCAAATATTGTGGGAAGTGCATGTTGAAATCTCGTCGGGGGTCAGAATATTTTAATTGACCCCCTACACCCATCTTACTTTTCTCGTAACATATTATTGTAAATAAAGAATTTCTTTCTGTTTTAATTTCACATTGAGTAAGAGGTCTTTGGTATTGTGGGCTTAAAGAGTTATTAAGTTAACAGACCAGACATGGTATTAAAAAAAAAAAGGAATTTAATACATCTAAATAAAAGGGGACCATTTTCTCTTTATTTTTCCTTTTTAATCGGTTTCACCCCAAGCAAAGCAGAAAAGCCACTAAGACACAAGGAGTTAGAGGGTGTGGAGGAATTTGGAACAGAAATATTAATAACGAGTAGGAAAAGAAAAGAGTAATCAGGAGGACAGTAGATAGTAATTGGCATTGGCTTTAAATTTTCCAGATTAAAGTTGGCTAGAAATCATAGAACCGAAAGAGAGTTCCACAAGCGAGAAGTGCGAGAAAAGAAACAAGTCTTGGTACCATAGCGAAGAGCTCATCCGAACAATTACCATGAAAGTATTTATAGAAAAAGACAGAGAGAGGCAACCTTACGGCGGTGGGAAAGTGACTGAAGACGAGCCACCAGATCAGGACCGATAATATTGCTGATTCTTCTTTGGATTTTATCAAGGAGCTCAAGGTAACTAGCAGGAGCACCGGACCATATGTGGCAGCAATATTCTAAGCATGGACGAATGGTAGACTTATAGATATGTATGATAGATTCTGGAGAGAAAAATTGTCTTACACGATACAGTGAACCAACTTTCTTAGCAGCTGACCTAGCAATGGATTCAATATAGTCTTTCTATTTCATGTCAGCTGAGAACGTTAGCCCGAGAAGGCGCAATGAGTCACTTTCTTGGAGGTTAGCATCAGCCATGCTGATGGAAGGCAGTTGTAATAAAAACGAAACTGTTAAAATTTCCAAGACACATAATGGTGAAAGTGAGCTTCGCCAATTTGACACCCACATCGGGAAAACTGAAGACTAGAGGGACGGGGGCAGACAGGGAGTAATCTACCTAATAAGCTTGTGTAAATAGATGACAGTGTAGTGAGATCCGCGACGAACGACAGGTCAGCAATAAAAACGTGAATGATTTTCAATCAGATGTAGCGGACCCCACCACATTTATTTAACTTTGATTAGGAATGACGTGGAAAAGGACAAGCAAAGAGCCTGGAGGTCACCATCAAATGTGGCGGTCACATGCAATTTATATTTGACGTAAAATAGTACATAGCAAAAATACAAGACAGAACGTAATGGTTCAAAACATAACATTTGAATTTATTTGTTTTGATGTACATGTATATAAACTAAAGTTTTGATAAAGTTACGTCTCTTAGATTTGGGAAATATTTGTACCGGAGCTCACAAAGTTGAATTATTAAACTGTAGTTTTAGAAGAATAAAGTTCCTGTTGCATGTTAGGAAATGTGAGTTGAAAAAGTTGGTAGAGCTCAGAAGAGTTAAGAGTTCGTACTTGCGTGAATGTTGGTAATGTTCTTTAACGCCTAATGGTCAAGACGAGAGTTCTTGAATATTACATCTTGGCAGCAAGGAAGGAGACGAAAGAGAAAACGGAGAGAGAAGGCTTACTCGTGTTTTGTTTATATAAAGTGGTGTATCAAGTGACAGGCTCCAAAGCTTGTGCGCGGGAAAATTATTCCTCGCATGCAGGTGATTTGATTGGTCGGAATTGACCAATCAGCAAGCTAGTCTTGAGGAGATTAGCCAATGAATGCTTGTCATATGATCTGTATGTATGTATGTGTGTGATGGTGATGATAATCACTACAACAGCATAGACAGTAAGGAGACAAACACTATTTGGAGCTACAACAGATAGGAAGTTGTAGAGAGCCGTGATCGCCTATACCCTCGAGCGACACGGAACCTAAAAGAAGAGTCAAAAAGTGTCTCCACATTGTTGTGGGTGAAGAATTATTTCCCATCCTAAAATCCCTTTCCCGCAGACGAAACGTCGCATGCCTCTCGCAGCTCTATCGTTATTTCCACGGAAAGTGTTCATACAAATTACATTCCTTAGTTCCACCATGCGACGCACATTGTAGGGGGGGGGGCATCATCATTCCCTTCGTATTCCATTGGTGAACTGTAAGTTTCACTCGAGCAGCTTCTTCCCACAATTCATTGCTCTGTGGAACCGACTCCCAAGAGGATGCTTTCACAATCACTTCAGATTGAAGTGATTGTGAAGATTGTTCATGTCTAGGGTTAACCGTTATTTTCACCACATTTCAGCATAAGCTGTGCCTCTTACTTTGTCATCATCTATCTCGAGTACCTTTTTTTGAGGCCTTGTACAGAGTGAACGTCATTGCAAAAAAAAAAAAAAAAAAAAAAAACGAGAAATAATAGTTAATAAACTATTACTTTTGCAAATTAAATAAAACTATTTTCTATAACCAACATTTATATATTTTTTCCTCTTCATAAGTTTATGATTTGTTTTTTTCGGGTTACCCAGGTGGTGGGAGAGGACATGTTGATCCATGTGATCGGATTTTTGGCCAATCAAGTATTTTTTTTAATCTGATTAAAACTTAAAGCAAAGAAAGACGATGTCGGGATTAAAAGATTCTTTGGACTTTTGGTTACTTAAATGTAAAAACCATATCGTCAGTTCTCAGGTAAGAGCCAAAAATTATTTATTGTATTTCTTTAAAGTATTTTTAACTCTTGATGACGAACAGCTGGTCTTGAAATTAAAATGCTTAAGAAAGGAAATACATGCTGAAAAAACACGTTGAGATTCGGTTAAAAAAATGTTTTATTCTAAGAAATTAAGCTCAAAGCAGTCGTTTCGATTTTTTTTTTTAAATTTATTTTATTTTTCCTGATTCATTTTGCAATTAGCTTTTATTTTTAAAACATAACACTGACAACATAGTTGATTGTTTATTGTCATCAAACTTCAACGAGTAGAAAACCACTGACCAATTTCTAAACATAAAAATAAAATGAAAAGAAAAACAATGCGAAAAACAAAATATCATTCAAGGAAATTTTGGTCATTTTTTTTTTTTTAAAATGTACGAGCTTTGTCAGCTCAAGTGATTTCAATGTTTTAAAAATACTTGAGTTTTTTTTACGTTTCTCTCTTACAATAACTTTAATCACCATGACTACACAAAGTGACAACAACTAAAAAAGCAGGTCGTTTTTCTCCTTGCAAACGCAATTATTTTAATAAAGATTAATTAATTCTGTTAATCAGAATATTAGAAATAATAAAATATACAAACAATTAGTTTTTTTTAATAAGAAGGAAGACAAAACCTGAATTAAAGACAGTAGTTTACTTAGAGTAGGACATTATTTTCTTTCGTAGTCATTCAGGTAAAAATAGTTGCAGAGGAAAGAGAAGTAGCTCTAGAAATATGGGTAGTTTTTCTTTATTTTATTTTATTTATTTTTTTAAACAAATTCGAGAAAATTGATTACTACGACTGGTCCACTTATTAAAAAAATATGGAATTTTTTTTTCTACTTTTACTTTTCGATTAGTTTGACTTTTGAGTAGACCTTAGGTTGGAGGTCCTGTTTTAAAAGATACAGAGTTTAGGAGCTGTTTGAAACTGCTTTAGCTTTCTTCATTGATATCTGTATGGAAGTTTTTTTTTTGTTTTTTTTTTTTTGTTCTTTTTTACAAAAATAACAGTAAATTTTTATTTTAACACCCGAGCGCTAATATCCCTTCAAATTTTTCCAAAATAGTCTTATTTCCGTGCAAATGTATATCCTGAACTCAAATCAACAATTTTAGATATTGAACAAACCTACCTTTTTGGATGTTAACGACCCGAAAAAAATCAGACTTTTTCCTGGTCTTTCGTCAGCCATTACCGGCTTAAGTAATTCAGTGCTGAATTTAGTTGGTGGACGTGTACAATTTGGACCTTACTTCCTTCACAGTAATTCCTTGTAGAAATTAGTACACGCTTCCGTAAAGCGATTTTTTTTTTTTTTTTTTTGTACAGTGTAACCCGGATATAAGAGAGATTTTATCTGGTCCCAAATTAGAGCCTGTGTTAATGTATATAAAATAGACCAAACCCGGATATAAGAGAAACCCGGATATAAGAGACTTCTTCTCCGTTCCCGACAACTCTCTTATATCCGGGTTACACTGTACTTAATTTAAGAAGAAAGTTAACCTTCAAATATATGTAAACATCGACAAATTAAAAGAATAACAAAGTAAATTTTTTTTTAAGAAAGTTAAGTTAACTTTCAAATTAGGGTTAGGTGTTTTTTTTTTTTCTTTTGTTATTCTTTTATTTGTCGATGTTTACATATTTGAAAGTTAACTTTCTTCTTAAATTCAGTACAAAAACAAATCGCTTTACTTTACGGAAGCACGTACTAATTTCGGAAAGAAAATAGTCAGCAGTGAATGACGCTCGGGTGTTAAAATGAAAATTTACCAAAAGAACAAATAGATTGTGTTTTTTACTTTTAAGAAAAAAAACATCTTACCTTTTTTTTAAACAATATGAATTGTTTGGTGAAAAATAGATCCTATTCATTTTTTTTTTCGTCATTAAAAAATAAACAGATAATTAAAGAACTGTTTTTTCGCAAATGTTCGAAAATGCTCCGACCAAAATTGCTTCTCTTCCACATGGGTAAATTCTTTAACTATTTCTAAAGAATAGTTAATAAAGGGGTGTGAATTTTTAAATAAATTAATAAAAGTATGTATTCGTTTATTCTTCATTTTAAATAATTAATATACCCGAAAAATGTTAAAAAAAAATAAAATAAACCACTTCTAAAGGATGTGAAAACAAAAAGAAAAACAATAAACTCCCAACCTGGCTTCAGTCACTTTGACACTGACGTGACATGGCTTCCCTCTGTCTTTTCTACAAATATTTTCATGGCAACTGTTCAGATAAGCTTTTTTTCCTTAGTGCCTCAACTGCATAAATATAAATGTGCTAACAACTAGGTCTCACCATTTTACTGTTGAACTAGCTAGATTCAACCGTAAGTTCTATTTTAAGTTTCTTTTCTTGCCTGTGGAACACCCTTCTTATTTCTTGCTTCCCTGCCAACTACAATAATCAAAAATTTAAATGCAACATCAATCGCCATCTTCTGTCTTCCTGAATCCTGTGCTTTTATCATCCTATTTTTCACTTCTCACTAAAGTCTTCTCATTCACTTTCATTCCCTGTAACCGTTTGTGTCTTAGTGGCATTATCGCCTTGCTTTGGATGAAATGATTTTAAAAAAATTTAAAAATGTAAAATAGTTTGTGGATATGAATGAAATAAGCACAGTTTTAAATGTGACATTTGTAAAAGAAATTTCACAATTCTCATATCTTTTCAAAATCAGGAATTGATTTTACACTGTATCAATATTATAAACAGGAACTCCTTCTAAATTGATAACTAATCAATATTTATCAATTCTGGCAGGACTCACCTGGTTTTGTGTGAGATTAATCCTGGTTCTGCCTCAACATAAAAAAATATGTCTAGGACGATGACAAATTTCACAGCCTAAAAAAGGACTTAAGAATGCTAATCTACAAAAATTACCCTCTCTCCGAAATAACCCCTCCAAAAAATTTTTTACCCCCAATTATCCCCTAATAAAAATTTATCCACACACCAAAAAATTTTTTTCATCAAGTAGACCTGTCTACTTAAGTAGTGCAAACAAATATTTAGCAGTATTTTTCCTCAATAAATCTATTTGGTGAGTATCTTTTTTTAAAGAAAAAAAAAAAACGTAATTTTTATGATGCTATTTTAGTTTTAGACCACCAAACACTAATGCAATCACAAACTGTGTGGAAACATATGTGGCTAAAAAGCTTACGGCCATATCAAGTTGAAATGCAAGTTTTTGTATGATCACTGAAGTCAGGCCCGGTCAATACCTAGATTGGGAATACCAGATGCTGTAAGCTTGGATATGCAGGTGGTGTACTGGATAATGGCTTGGAATTGAAATCCGAGTTCCCAGTTTGAATTCCAGTTGGGTTTGTTATATTCACTGACATGCAAATACTCTTGGGAAAGGTAAGAATCCATGAATTCTCCGCCACCCCAACCACCACTACCAGTTATGGCTTAATTAGTAGGACTTGTATCAATGAGTAATTATTATATCCGAAAAAATTCTTACAATCTAAAAATATTTTCTGGCTTTAAATAACCTGTAAAATGTTGATAAGCTGGAAAAAAAAACAAATCGATCAATTATGTGGCCAAAGATGCAAATCAAAAATCAAAGCAATTCATGATGCAAACTGGGATGTGATGGATGGTTACTTTGCAGAGTTTATGTGGAATCAAAGATGCCAAAACACAAAATTTAATCATTTTTGGCATCAAATTAATATGGATTTATACCCAGTTTAATATCATTGGTTCTTTATGTAGTATTAAATTGAAAACACCTTTTATTTATGTTGGCGGCTTATGTCTTTTTCTATAAATACTTTCATTGTAATTATTCTGATGAACTTTCCTCTATGATAACTAAACTTTATGAATTTAAGTTCAGTACTAGATTGGCAGCAAGGTCTCATCATTTTATAGTTGAAATGGCCAGATTTAACTGTAAGTTCTATGCTAACAGCTTCTTTTCTCGCACTCCTCGCTTGTGGAATTCTATTCCAGATTCTTGCTTTCCAGCCAGCTTTGATCTTCTAAAATTTAAATGCAATTTCAATCGTTATCTTCTATTTTCTTAATTCTTGCTCTTTTACTGTTCTCTTTCGTTAATAGTGTTTGTTTTATTGTTATATCATATTCTCTCATACTCGGAATCCATTGCATCTTAGTAGCTTTGGCTTGTTTGGGGTGAAATGTTAAAATTAAATGGGTGGTGAGGGTTAAAGTTAGGAGATATGTTATCTCAATATAGCAGGCCCTTAAATTACCCAATTAAAATCTGATTTCTCTACTTTAACTTGGTTTAAATGTAAAGTAAACGGTTCAGTTTACTTTTCACTTCTAAACATGTTGTGAATATATGTCAGTACAGACACAAGAGGCCCTGGATTGTCAAAACCAGTTATATCAAGCATCTCCTCATTAGAGGCAGGACAGGTTGGCATGTCCAGATACAAGCCTATCTACAGCTTGTCTAGATCTGGGTTTTTGTCAGTGTCTCCTGTCAATAAAAGTGATGGAAATACCAACAGTCCGCAGTGGGCAAGACTCAATTTCTTGTGAAGTCAGTCCTGTGGGCATTTTGTTCCTGAATTTGCTGTACCTTCTGAGGCAGTGTCATTTTGTTATCTCTTTTCTTATTTTATTTCTCTGCCTATTACTCCCCCCCATAGCAGCTGGGGGAGCTATCATTTAGGTGTTTCCCCCCAACCTCAATACACCCTTGCTATGATTTACAACAAAACACAGGTGAAATCACAAATCATATGGAAACTTATATGACAAAGGTGCAAATTGAAAATTGAAACAATGCATAGACCAACAAATCGAGATGTGATGGATGATTATTTTGCAGAGTTTATATGGAATTAAAGGTTCACAGACTCTTTTTCATTTTTGGCATCAAACTGACATGGATTTATATCCTGTTAAATATTGGTTTTTGAATTTGTGTTATATTGAAAACAATTTATGTTTATTTTCTTGATTGAAGACATAATAATTGCTAAAAGCTCAATTTAAATATGATAATCCAAATGCATACAGACATATCCATACATAACTATACAATTAGGCGATTCTGAGAGAATTAAGTCTTACCAGGATTCACTATTGGTGGCGACAAACTTTCTAACATAAGATATGCAGATAATACAGTGTTGATAGCAGATATAGATAAGGAAACTAAAAGAACTCCCACAGAAGTTAGTAAAGGAAAGCGAGAAGAAAGGACTAAACCTTAATTGCAAGAAGATAAAATGCATGATTGTTAGCAAAAAGAAAAGCCCAACATGCAAATTATAAATTGAAGATCTCAAAATCAAACAAGTGCAACAATTTAAATAACTGGGAAGCATTTTAACAGAGGACGGAAAGTGCAATACTGAAATTCGAAGGTATCTAAATTACCTAATTAAAATATGACTTCTCTACTTCGATTTGGTTTGAATGTCAAGTAAATGGTGCAATTATGCTATTACCCACTGCCCTCACTAGCACTGGTGAAAACACAAATTGCATGCAAACTTATATGGCAAAGATGCAAATCAAAAATTAAAGTAATTCGTGGACCGACAAATCAAGATACAATGGATGATTATTTTGTCTTAAATTCCATGTTTTGTGTTTTCCTGAAATCACATGAGTCTGCCTAATTTTGTTTGAAAGACAAATGTTCCAGGAGCTGTAAATATTTACTGAAAAACATTCACAACTTGAAACAAAAGAATTGATTTGCATAATACATCTGATATAAATATCTAGATACTATTGTGACTACTAATACTACTAGTGGAAATAAAGCAATTGAAATAAAGATGAAAGAAATCCTAGTCCAAAATGAATAATGCTTGACAATTGCAGATAATATTATTACTACTAATACTACTAGTGGAAATAAAGCAATTGAAATGAAGATGAAAGAAATCCTAGTCCAAAATGAATAATGCTTGACAATGCTTCATCTAATGATTCTAATCAAAATTGCAGATTTAATAATATATGTCTTTGCAATGTATTTTGAAGCATATGTAATCTTTATTTTATTTCTCTTGTTTTACAGGAATGGAAAGAATTTCTAACAGATTTACAAGAGAAAGTCCAACAACTTCAATTCAAAAGCCATGTCTCTTGCTTTGTGGACTTATCAAGACCAGAAAAAGTCCTTTTGATTGAGCAGGCAGCCAAAAATGTTGATCAGAGTCTGTTATCAGCAAATGTTTTGTTATTAATTTTTATATGAGTTTTTCCTTCATTTCTTTCCCATTTTTCCAAGAAAATCAGATAACTTTAGACCTAAATTTTTTTTTAAACAAGTTGAATTTTTTTCCATATTTTTTCCACTATTTCTTTTTGTTCACTACCATATTTGCCTGAAGAAACAAATGGTGAAAATACTCTTATTACCATACAGAATTTAATTCTTAAGAAGGTTGTAGAATTGAAATGGTCCCCAACCCCAAATCTATGATATGCCCTCCCACCAACTCAACTACATCTCAGTTTTCATAAGGTTGTATTCATATAAAATACAAATTTTATTGTAACCTAATTATGTATAATAATGGATCATATGCAATATAGGTGAACAATACAACTAGAAAAATTGAAAATAAATACTATATATCTAGATCTCTCTCTCATATATATATATATATATATATATATATATGTCTTTATCTATAAAAGGAAGGATGTGTGTGCGTGTGTAACGAATGCACGGCCGCAATTTTCGACAGATTTGCACCAAAATTTACATGCACATGCTCCAAGTTAGCGGGAAGGCCAAGACCAACTTTGCATTCCCAACTCCCATCAATAGTGGAAATAATCAATTTTTTTCATGCTTCTATGGCAGTTTTCATGTAGTTTGTGGCCATTTTCTACTGGCCAGAGTGAGAGTCTATAGCTGGCTGTCATGAATAGGCAGGAAGATTCTATTGGCCAGCGTGAGAGCCAACAGCTGACTGACATGAATGTTAACTAGCATGCTAGCATGCAAAAAAAATTGTTAGCTGCATTCATCACAAGTGGGATAAATTTAAATCTGCATGGCATTTTACTCTTATTGGCTCATTCGCTTGCTTAAACTCAACGTTGATTCTGATTCCTCAGAACTGGGTTGGGTGTGAAAAAGTATTTGTTGTTAACATTCTTTTTTCATTCGGCTTTTCCAGTTACAAGTCCTTTTTTAAAGCTGATCGTTTTGTGTTCATTTTGTTTAGTTCTTTTTTCGCAACAGATTTAATGTTTAGTATAGAGCTTAGAAAAATCCGCAGTGTGAGATAGGCAAGAAGTAAGGCATGTAGCAACATCAGCACGGCAAAGGGCACACCTTTAAAGGCAAGGAAGGGTAAAAATATTTTAAGTCAAGTGATAGTGATTGCTGTATGAGTCGTATGATTTTTGAATTGAGCACGGGCAACACCGGGCCATGCTGCTAGTATATATATATATATATATATATACATAAGTGTTTTTATATGAAGACTTTTGTGGTTTATTTGAACATTTTTATGTTTATGTTGTATAGTTATTCTCTTTGTAAATGAAACACATAGCATAGATTCATGCACAACAATAGTATTCATATAAAATACAAATTTTATTGTAACCTAATTATGTACAATGATGGATCATATGCAATATAGGTGAACAAATCAACTAGAAAAATTGAGAATAAATACAATGCATCTAAAATACAAATTAGAGACATGTCATAATAGATCATGCCATCTTAAATAAACCAATGTTTTTGTTTTTCTTAACATTCTTGTTAAAAAGTTAAATCCTTTTAACACATTTGTTACTATTATACATTGATTCATTCAGTCCAATATACCATTCTGGTATATGACGATAAACTACATCCATGTCTTGGGTAGAGCGAGGAGTTGCGTCCGGTGGCAGGGCCTCTGGTCAGGAGATTTTGGGGAGCATGGCGCCAGATCTTGGTTGCTGGTGTTCCCAGGTCTGCCCTGGCCTGGGGTAGTGGCACCTGTTGGGGCCCCAGCTATCGGCAGGTGGTCAGATTGCTGTGAAAGTGTGAAAATAGGTTTTAATACCTGAAATACATTGTAAAAAATTATTGCCAGCAATATATTTTTGAAGGAAAAAATATTACCAGCAATTTTTTAAAGGAAAATATTACCAACAAAAACAATTGTCAACATTAAATAATCCATTGTGGTTGATATAATGTAAAAAAAAAAAAAAAAAAATACCCAAACCAATCAGTCCAATATCCTCATCTTTCTTGTCCTTATCACAAAATTTTGGTTTCTATATTCTTCAGGCTTCTCCTTATCTGAATTTCATAGATGAAGTCTATTTTTTTCTATTATTTATGAAACCATTCTAAATGAATCAGTGTATAATACTAAAAATCAAGCATTACAAATGTTTTGGTGTGACACTGCACTGTCGGCTCGTGGTCAACTCCCAGTCACAAAGCTGTAATGTTTCTTCCACTGGTGTTTTGGGGTTGACTCTTAGTCGCTGCCACCAGCTTGTGTCCCAGTTGATCAGTGGCCGTCGCTACTCAGCGGAATCCCTTTGTCAGGATACCAATATGTGACACTGGCCCATCCAGAGTCGAATTCTGGTCGTCAATGTTAACGGCTTCACACCAGTCGTACTGGTTCGATACCAGCTCTGTCGTTCCCAGCTCACTTCCAGCGTCTGGTTACCAGAGTTACTGCTTCAATCTCAAGTCTAACCTACCCACGTTGTGATTTTGATCTTAGGTAGACAAGATCAATCAGGCGTCAGGCCGTAGTATAAGCTGAGTCCAGACTGGTGGTGATATCGCACGAGTGTAAAGAAAAAGAAGCAAATAAAAGAAAAACCCAAGAGGTTCAAGTATGTTAAGAAATAACAAATTAACTTTATCCGTCTGTTATATACAGGAGTGTGTTTCTCTCCCAGCCTGTTTTCTACAGAATGTGGCACGTTTCAAGCAAGTTTGGTATCTTAAGTCAACTGATTTAATTTTTAGGTGCTGGCTTGGCTTCGTTAGTATAACTTGCTATTGGTAGGATAGATGAAGTCGGAGGTCGTGGAATCTCTCGGTTAGTTCCTGCGAGGCAACACTCTGGTTCCTGCTACTAGAACTGACTCGACTGTACTAACTGTACTGACTCGACTCTACTGTTGAACGGTCCAAGGATGTTTGTTTATATGGGTACCGACCAAAACCCGGTGTGGGGCCAGACGTGGCCTGGAGTTCTCGGTAAATCTCGATTCCCATCAAGAAATCTCTTTGTTGTCAGGCCAGGAAAATTGATTACTTCCCATTTTTGGAAAATTAATCACTTTCCATTTTTTTGTGGTGGGGGTCTCCCTCGTCCATGAGGGGAGGTTGGAGGAGAACTATCCTCCTAAACTCTTCCTCTCTCACATTGATATCTCATACCAATCCCTTCAGTGGGTGTTAATAACTTCTCCGTCCTTCTCATCCATTCACCTCTGCCTACCACCATTGCTACCACTCGACCAATGGCATCCCGGCTGTGCAGGTGTGGCTAAGCTGGCCTCCTTAAAATTATAATCCAGAATTTTTGTTTACAAAATTCTCCTTTTTCCCATTGGCCAAAATTTTTACAAATCCCATATTGCCACTTAAAATCTATCATATCTTTTGGTCACTCAGAATCCACTTAGCCAGCACTCTTTACCAATTCCATTAATCACTGTTAAAGTTTGCTATCTGGTCCCTTCGTGAAGTTAGCTTATACTGGAACCCTTGGCTTCTTGAGAAATTAAATTGTTTATCTTACCAAATCGCAATTCTTCCATGCTATCTTTTCTCCTGCCCAAAATTTTACAATCACCATATTGCTACTCAACGTCTTGGCATCTGAAAGAAACACCTTGGTAAAGTAAATAATAACGGTCCTCTCCATCCATATCAAGACAATTGCCAAAATTTTATAATCACCATATTGCTTTTCTTTACCGGCACTCAAGAAAAAAATAAATGATATCTTGGAAAGATAATTAATATTGATTCTCCCTACCCTGTATCAGCAATTGTCTCAGACTGAAATTTTTATGACCACCATGTGGTCTGCCTGATATCTTAATGCTTTGTTTATCTTTTCAAATTCTCCCATTTCTCTCGGCAAGACACTTCTTTACAACAATATTAATCAATTTGATAAAATCTCATATATGGCTTTTTCTACAGGTTTACTGTCTTTTGTGAAAAGTATCTTTTTCGTAAATAAAATAAAATCTTTTTTAACATTGAACGGTATATCTTTCGGGATAACTTCTTTCCGCCTTCAGTATTTCCTGTTTTAATTTCTATGGTTAATTATTTAGCCAATTACCATAGCTATATAGTGTCACATTGGTAATTAATCTTTAATTTATGATTGATTACAACTATATAAAACCGTGAAAAAGTTTTTTTATTAATATTACTGAATATACTTTTTTTTCCACTTTCAGGATTTTTTTGTGCCTTACATCACCAAATTTCTGCCACCATAAAACCCATCCTTAATGATTATGCTACAGTTACATCAACAAAAGAAAATTTTGTCATATCAGATATAATAATAGATTTAATTTATGATTGGGTTTCATCAATCCTTAAAAAATGGCCACATCTGAAAAACAAACTTGGTATTTTCTTCAATCAACCTCTTCAAGAGAAATTAAGACAACTGACTTGGAGTTGTTTCTTATGCACCGATCAAGGTTTGTATGACTGTTTCTATTTTAATACAGCATTTTCAGACATTTCATATTTTTACATTTAAATATTGATTATAATTTGTACAAAGGTGGACTGAAAAGTTTGAAGGAGTGATGCTAGAGCTGTGAAATCTTGCATGCATTAATTTCAACTCTTGTTATTGATAACTACATTGTTTATCTCCAGGTACAAGAGTGGGCCGAAAGGTTCAGAGGTTGACTATGAAGGAATGATGCTAGAGCTGTGAAATCTTGCATGTATTAATTTCAGCTCCTCTTATTAATAACTGCATTGTTTCTTTTCATGTTCAAGGGCAGTGCTAGAGCTGTGAAATCTTAAATGCATTAATTTGAACTCTTCTTATTAATAACTACATTGTTTTTTTTTCCAGTATGAGGGTGGGCTGAAAAGTTCATAGGCTGACTGAAGCAGTGATGCTAGAGCTGGGAAGTCTTGCCCACATTAATTTCAACTCTTCTTATTATTAACGGAATTGCTTATTTCTAAGTAAACTGACATCTGACTGTTTAAAGAAGACTGTTGATCAAAAAGTCATCAACTGCAGATATAAAGCCATCATTACTGCCATACTGGTTCCCAGCCGGTTTTTTTTTTTCATGTTGGAGAACATGATAGTCAAATCAGGAGAATAGAGAGAGTGATCAATCAGTTCAACGCCGCAATCACATGCAGCAGCCATTGAAACCAAAGACTTATATGCTGGACATTGTCATAATGAAACAGGACCCATTTTGTCAGTTTTTCTGGGAGTTTGGTCTTGATAGCCTTTTATATCTGTCTCAGCATGTTGGCATAGTTCTCTTCATTGGCCCTTTTAAAGATAGTCAATAAACACATTGCCTTTTGTATCCCCCAAAACTGAGCCTTCTTTGGAGCAGGTGAGGAAGGTTGTTTCCACTGCATGGGATTATTTCTTTGTCTCTGGCACAGAGTGATGAACCTAACCCTCATACCAGGTTAGAAAAAAATCCCTGCTGGATTTACCTGAAATAATGTCAGATTTTTTTCTTGGTGTGATTAGCCTGATGTGCTTTTGGTCAGGTGTCAGAAGACGTGGTACCCATCATGCAGAAACCTATGTCATGTCAAGTTCATTGTGCAGAATATTCTCAAATCTCGGAGTATGCTAATAGAATTGAAATTTTATGAAAATATTAGTCTGAATCCTAAAATCTATGTTTCTGAATAAAGAAAAAATGCTGCTTGCTGACATCAGCTGCCATTTTGACCTTGCTGGACTGATCAGTCTTACTATTGAGGCAGGAGCAAATGGTTGTGTCATCAGCATAGATAGCAAGTTGAGAGCTGATGTCATTGGAAAGGTCATTAATTAAAATTAAAAACAAAGTAGGACCAAATGAGAAGAAGCGCTTCCCATTGGGGTGTGTGACCCTATTCATTAGGTGAAGGGAAAGAGAAGATGGTTTCTTTTTGAAAAACCACTACTATGCATCTTTTCTACAATTAATCATCTGTGTTGTGACCTAACCTTGTTTTTTCTATATTCCATGTCCATTCAGGATGTAGACGATAATGACCTCCACAATTTCTTGTCCTTTGTAGCTCTTAATAAATTTTGTCTTTTTGTTATCTCTCCTAAACCCTGTTCTGCTATCCATTCACTCAAACTAACTAGGTAGATTATACATTGTTTTCGTCTCTCTTTTGACTTCAATATGTCCTGTGAGTATCAGATTTTCCAAGCCCTCTTTCCTCATTATATGCCCTAGAAATTTCAACTGCTTCTTTCTGATGTTAACTTTAAGTGTTTTTTTTTACTCTAAAACTTTGTTGTTGCTCACATGTTCTGTCCATAGTACTCTCAGTATCCTTCCATAGAATCACATTTCTGTTGCTTCAAGACTCTTCTTCATCTATGAAGAGATTGTCCAGCATTTACTACCCTATATGAGGACTGATATTACACACCTGTAATCCTTTCTTTGTTTCTAATGAAATTTTCCTGTTTCTTAATACTTTGCTTAGCTTTTAGAAGGCATCTTTTGCTATCCTAATGTACCTTTGGATTTCAGTGTTGCACCAATTCCCTCAGGAAATATTTGATCCTTGCTGGGTACCTCACTATAGTGGTTTTGAACAGGACTAAGCTGGGCAAAGTAAATATCAAGGGTAACTTTATAGCAAAGTTATGGTTATTTTTTTAATAATTTCACCCCAAGTAAGGCAATAAAGCCTCTAAGATGCAAGGTATTACTGAGATTGAGAGAAAATGAGAAAATGTTAGGAGAGAGGACAATATAGGGGCAGGATTCAAGGAGACCAGGTTTGCCTCTATACATGACATCCATATCAAAGTCTCGATCTGATGGGGCTATTTAAGAACATAACTTGAGTTTTCAGGTTGATGTTTTGGTTTCATAGCAATTTGCAGTGTTAGGTGAAGATATCTCAAACACAGCCTATTTTATATTCAATTTCTTTTTTTCCTATAATTAATTTGTTAGTCATTCAAAATCTTTCACTGTTTAGAGGATACCAATATGTCTAGTTATCTTAATAATATAAAAAAAATAAAACCTCAAGAGGAAAGCTCAGAAAATCTTTTTAGTCACCTATTGAGTTCACTGTATTTCTTCTTAATTATTTCATCCTAAACAAGGTGATAATGTCACTAAGATGCAAGGGGCTACTGAGAGTAAAAGAAAATGAGAAAATATTAGTGAGGAGAAAAAACAGGATTCAGAAGGACATAAGATGGTGTTTGATGTTGTATTTACATTTTTGAAGATCGTAGACAGAAAAACAAGAAGCAGGAAGAGGGTTACACAGGTGAGAACTGCGAGAGAAGAAACTATTAGAATAAAATTTACTGTTACATTTAGATATTTCAACTGTGTTATACTGGAACACACCTATTCTATAGTTAATAGACTCTCCCACTTATAATAAGTAGCAGTCGCAAAGTCGCTCAGTGTGTTGACCTGAGTTCAGTCTGAAGTCGGACAACCAGCTGACCAGTTGAACTCTCTGCCTTCGGGCAGGGAGGAACCCGAACGAGGCTACGCTGAAGGGCGGATTCTCTTACGAGGAGGTAAACCGGCCCTGAACCCGTTTATTCAGGTTCAATGGGCATATTTTTGGCTGAGCCCACAGGCTCGGAGATCCCATGTTAAACCGGCCTTGTGCCACATGATGCCCTCGTGGAGGGGTGACTAAATATCCTCAGTGAGTTGGTCAGTCAGTCGATGTCGGACATTAAAGTATCAGCCACCACAACTAGATTGCTGCATCATTAACTATTATATCAAGTTCTTAACATTTTGTACATCGAACCTTTTTAGGACCGACTTAGTGAAATACAAGCCTCCACTGTGAAACTACTCTACAACAAACTGTAAAATGAAAAGACCTAAAAAATAAAAATGGAGTCCATCAAAACCCAATGATTACCTAACCTAGCACAGTTACATGACCTCTGCAAGTTGGTATAGTTGCAATGGTTTGTGCTGAGCTATAGCAAACCTCTCTCCCTACTCCTAAAATCCCAGGGCATACAAGTATATAACATTTGGAGAGGGAAATTAGGCTACTGGGGATGCCAGATAGTACTGAGTTATTAAGTGCCTTCGGGTCCTTCCCTCTAGATTTTCCAGGTTGGTTTGAATTCAGTTTTTCTTCTCTTAGACTGGTTGCCACCCAAGGCTATAGAATCCAGACAGTGCTGGTATTTACTCATAGCTGGGGAGAGAAGAGATGATTCATACCTTTCCCAAGGGTGTTTGCATGTAAGTGAATGTAATGGATCCAGTTAGAATTCTGATTCTCCGATTTCTCAATCCAAGCCGCTATCTTTCACTTTCTGAGTGACTGTTCGGTTCAACTCTCTGTCTACAAGCGGAGAGGAACCCGAAGGAGGCTATGCTGAAGGGCAGAGTCTCCTTCAGGGAGGTAAAACGGGCCCTGAACCCGTTTATACGGGTTCAAACGGGCATATTTTTGGGCCGAGCCCATGGGCTCGGGAATACCCACAATAAACAACCGACCTTGTGTCACATGTTGCCCCAGTAGGGGGGAGACTCAATATCAATACACCTGTATTAATATAAAAGGATCTAAAAGACTAGCTGTTCAACATGATTTTCATTACATGATTTGTTGAAAAAGAATGGATCAAATCTAAAATTTGGTCAGAGACACCATAGCCCTTCAATCTGTGAAGGCTGAAGCATGCCAAACCTTGTCAAATGACTTTGAGATATATCATGCCACAGCTCAAGCCTCACCATTTTTTATCTAAAGCCTGACAAACTCTTTCATCAACACATTGGCGGTTGACCTAGAAAAGTGAAAGCCATATTGTTTATTTGAAAAATCATGTAAAATGAGATGTGTAACCAATTCAGAGTTGTTTAATACCGCTAGTACTTTGCTAAAAGAGGTAGAAGGCTAACAGGGTGATAATTTGAAGGATCAGTTGGTTCATCTGAGTTCTTAAAAACAGGAACTATATAAAAGGATTTCCAACAAGCTGGAAAGCAAAAAGTTTCAAGGTATTTTTTGTAGAGTTTAGAAAGGACAAGAGCCATTTCAGGAACATATTTCTTTAGGGCAAATACAGAGATAGTAGTGAGTCTGCATGCATTGTGGGGATCTAATTTGAAGATGATAGCAAAAACTATGGACAGAATTATATGTACATCACACAGTAGAGTCTTGGTTTTATGCGGAAGGTCATGCAAAGACACACTTGATGAGTCGAGTGAAATTGGAAGAAAATTTATAAGCAAAGCATTCTGCTTTATTAGCAGTTGATGACATCACTTCAAACTAAATGAAGAATAAACAGATATGTACTTTTGTTAAAAAAGAGTAGGTAATTCAATTCTGTGTAAGTAGCCTGGCAAGTTCTAACAGTAAAGGGGGACTACTTAAATGGACAGGTAAATTTTTACGTAAATTTTTGTTTATTAATCAAAATGTATATGTCTGTTTATTTTTTATTCAAAAGAAATCTTTTTGT